TCAAACGCCAAATGGGTGCCATATTCGTGTTCAGGGAGCAAAACTATCCCTTGGTGACAGGTTTCTAGCCAGATGTGAGGTTTGACCTAACTTTGAAAAGTGCGGTAGCAGTTGATGGTTGGTTCACTTATGGAATCAGGTCAAAATGCCAGATTTGGCTAGAAACTTGTGTATAAAGGTATTTTGACCCGCTGAACACGAATATGACACTCGCTGAGCGCGAAAACGCCTGTATCGCGCGCGACGGGCACCTGTACGCCCTAATCTTTTCCTGCACTACAAGTCTCCTACAAGTGGTCCAAGCGCAGTAATAAATGAAACACTGTGAAATGGACGCAAACTTTTCTTCAGGCAAGCTCAGGTGAGAACTGAAGTAGTAGTGACGGCAAAATCACTTTTTGCCACGTTTGCAAGAAGCAAAAAAGTTAAGCTCAGCAGGGATCCGATCCCACGACCTGTTGCGTGGTAAACGCGGTGGAAAAAGCTCCATAACTCCGTTCAGAGAATCGCTCTGCAAATTTTGAAGGCAGATTCGAGATTAGCGTCCAAAACCTAGTGAGCTACAACTCATTACAAATAACCACTTCAACCTGACGACCTTCCCCAGTCAGTTTTCCGTCGTGAAGGTGGTGCAAGATGGTCCACCAACATTCCCCACCTGATCTTTTACCTTTTCGTGGGTCATCGCGGACAGCTCTTTCGAAATAAAATCACGCTTTCGCATAAGGTGTTCTTTTCAGAAGGTTTCTGCGAATGTTACCCAACAAATTCAGGCAAAATCTGCTGAATATCTTCCACAACACATCCTCCATAGCCGCTGTGATTATGTCAGTATTTTCGTGGGGTCTGATTTACGGTTTTATAACGTTTTATTGTTTTGCCCCCAATGAGCACTACTACAAATATGCCAACCAATCTGTTTATGAAACGTTTGGAGTAGATCCGCACACTATATCTTTCTTCTGTGTTTTTACTCATGTAAGTTATAAGCAGTTGTTCTCGAATGGAATGAACATCAGAAGGAAGCTGTAATTTTCAGGAAAAGAAAGAAGGTGCGACAATAATTCACTGGCCATCAACCATTGGGCTATGTATTGTCTTTGTCATGATGATAATCACGTTTACACTCATGATGGTTTGTGGCATTAAGATGCACAGAACTTTGAAACAATCTTCCATGAGTCCAAAAGCAAGGAAGTTGCAGAATCAGATGTTAAAAGCTTTGGCACTGCAGGTTCGTATTAACATTGGATTCTTTCCATTTTTTTGATATTTTTTGTTTCCTTGGTCTGACTCTGTGTTGTAGAACATAGTTTTAGGCCGCGATACCTTTTTTTACTTCATATTTATCCCGAATTGTATTATATACGTGTGGCATTATGGGGCTCCCTCCGCTACCGTAAGTGGTTTGCTCCGTCAAATCATTCTTTACGATTGTATCCCATTCTGCTCTAGCCGCACGAAAAGGCTACATATTGCGAGGCGTAAGCCGACGATAAAGTCTCACAGCAAAATGTATCTACAGCTGCGTTTGTAATTTAGTAATTATCGTTTTGCTTGCTCTACCTCGCTTAGCGCGAAAGCGCTGCTTCCGCTATGCGTCGCAACCAGGGTACAGCATCGTTGTGCGAAACCCATAGGGGGTCGTACTTGGCCGCTGGGGAGGGGGGGGTCGTAATCTCAAGGGTCACTCAGAGCCGGGCAATGCTTCGACATTTCAGTTGATAGTGGGAGTGGAGCTATGGAAGTCAAGATGTTAAAAAAATGAAAATTATTATGAGTGTATTCTTTACAGATTGAACTGCTACGTTTAACAGCCCTCTTTGCAAGTTCCCCAAAACTACTTGGGTTCGCACTTGTCCGCGAGGGACACACACATACCGCAAAGCTAGTGTCATTGCTAAGTTTGATGGAAGGAACGGAAAGCTGCAGAAGACCCGGATGTAAATAGGACTACAAAATAATAAAAATTTATTAGCAATATAGCAAGAATAAATCAAGAATAAATAAATAAATATCAGTTAATAACATGAACTCGTAAGTACGTAGATGACTAAATAATACGTCTCAAACAGATTCGTGCGTATTGTCCTTTCCAAACCCTAAACAAACATCTGCTTGCATGGATAAAGCACCTGAAATTAGAATTTACACCTTTCCACCTCTGCGTAGGAGCGTAATGCACGGCGCACACTCGGACCAAATCGATCAGTGATAGCCGAGCTCCTCTTTCACTCATTTGAAGGGAAATATGTGTTTTGGAGTTTTCGAAGGTGTATCCTCACAATGGCACAGAAGGAGTCGATTTTTCGGGTGGGTCAGAGGGTAGCGCGTCTGTGACCCATCTAAAATATCTCCTGAACTAGTGGGTCTTCAGAAAAACTGTAAAGCTTATTGGAAAGAGAAAAGATAGGGCGGTTTCAAGACTTTCAATCCTGATGAAATTGCGTTCGAAATAAGTAGTCCTCGTGTGAAGCATAAAAACCCGCTTGCCATTTACCCCTAGCCTATCCAAAACCCATCCGGAATATTTCACCAACGGGGGATTGTTCAGTTTGCAACTAGGTAGAATACACAACAGTAGAAACTTTGCCGTTGCATGCTGCTCACCATTCCTCAAAAGCTCCGCACCTAAAAGAGATATAAGCTCCTGAAAAGACCCCAGGACGCTGACTTTCGAGTTACCGCGCTCCAATGACGTTTTTGCAGCGAAAGCGGTTGCGACCTTGCGATCGATAATAGCCAAGTATAGAACGATTTACTGCCGCCTGGTTATCCTTTTTCTCATTTGGCTCCGCATTTTTTTTCATGTTTCGCTTTGTTGTGTCGTTCATGTTTTTATGATTTTCCCCGTCACCATTCATTGAATGCACATCTGAGGCCTGACACGCTGACCTTGGGGCTAATTTTTTCACCATTTAGCTTATTAATGATCACCATTAGTCGCTGTTTCGATTGTGTTCCTTGTTACAAGTTGCATATGGTTATCGAACGAGGAGTTTTATTTTGAATCCTAAGACAAAATTGTAGGTAATGCGAGGCTGTTGTTCAGCCTCATATTGCATGAGGCTGAAACAGCCTCTTATTGCCTGGATTTAGAGCAGAGTCCGCCTTTCGAAAATCCAGATTCCATTTCAGGAAGCCATTTGTGGTGAACATGCATCTGGTTGTCAGTTAGAGCAGGAGGGGGGGGTCGTATCTGGACCCTCTTCGAGGGGGGGGGGGTCGTACTCACACCGCCATTTCGCACATCCCCATGCTGTACCCTGGTCGCAAGTGGAACGGTTACCTGGGCACCAGTAAACCGTCAAACGTTACCGATTGGTGCACCCTCTTGTTTTCCTCATCCTTTTTACGTTTGTCCCGCTCAGCGGCAGGGTCCGCTCTTCTAATGTGATGACGCCACTTTTCCCGATCAAATGCCTGATCGGGGTGAATTCCAGCTATTTTCAAGTCTGTATGCAACGTATCGAGCCAGCGCTGTCTGGGACGTCCCCTAGGTCGCTTTCCGGGCACCTCAAGCTGAAGGCCAGTCCTACAGACGGTGTCAGCCTTTGCGCGAAGTACATGGCCGTACCATCGAAGGCGCGTTTCTCGCATTTTGTCAGCTATAGGAGCTACGCCGAACTTCTTGCGTATTACCTCGTTACAAATGCGGTCCAAACGCGTGACACCCGCAGTCCAACGCAACATTCTCGTCTCCATCACACTTAGACGGGCTTCAACTTCTTTGGTGGCGGGCTAGCACGCCATATAGGCCGGTCAAACGACACTTCTGTGGATCTTCGACTTCAGGCGCTCTGGCATCTTTCTCTCGCAGAGCATAACTGATACATCGCCATTTCGCTCACGCTGCACTCACCCGTGCGCTCACCTCCGCTTTGAGATCTCCATCGGAATAATTTGCTGATCCCAGATACTTGAATGTTTTTGTACGCGTGAGCTCATTGCCGTCGATTTTGATGGAGCCCGTCTCGGCTGGGTTGACAGGTGCTCGGTCTTATTCACGTTTACGTTAAACGTTTAACCTAAGCCCAAACTTTGCCAGGCGATCAGCCCAAGCTTGCACTTGCTCTAGCGTGCGTTCAATTTTCCTGCAAGCATCACATCATCAGCGTAAACGAGCGTCCAGGAACTTCCTCTGAAATTCTCGTCCATGACGACAACGAAAAGGTGTGGGAGAGAGAGCGGAGCCTTGGTGTACCCCAACGGTGATGGGGAACTCCATCGAGGTGCCTGCAAGAGTCCGCACTTGGCTCTCTGGCTTCGAATAAAGGATGCGGACCCACTCGATTAGCTCTTCAGGGACACCGTGTTGTCGCAAGGCGTACCATATAACGTCACGCGGCACGCGATCAAATGCCTTTTCCAGATCTAGAAAGGCTACATGCACAGGCTTTTGCTTCTCACGATGTTTCTCAAGCAAAAGGCGAGCAGCGTGAATGGCGTCGATGGTGCTACAGCCAGTTACGAAGCCACACTGGTTGGCAGAGAGCTGGACGATGTCACGAATACGGCCATCAACAATTCGCTCAAAGATTTTCATAGTGTGCGAGAGAAGGCGAGTCGGGCGGTCGGACGGTAGTTCGAGCAATCTGCCGGACTGCCCTTCTTCTTCCAAATCGGAATCCTCTGCTTTGCAACCAGTCCTTGGGCACCTTTTTCTCTTCGATATCTGGTTGAAAAGCTTCGTCAACCATTCTGCAGCCATTCTGCAGAGTACAACTGTGACTTCCATAAGTCCGCTGCTAGGTTGCCGGGACCTGTAGCTTTACCTGCCTTCATCTTCTTCGGCGCTTCTGTCTCCTCAACGAATATCTTTCGAAGGGGGCCATATATTGGTGCCGCAGAGGGGAAGACCGGATGGGTAAATTCTTCTGTCGAGATCTTCTCGAAGTAGTCGTGCCATCGCTGCAATAACCTCTTTCGGTTCGTCAGATAATAGATAAAGATACATCAGATGGGATAATTGACATCAGTATTTATCCAGCATGAGGCGGAAGTGATATATTGCAATGTGGCAAGCTTACCATTCGCGCAAACCGAGGTTCAAATCCCCGATCGACACCCGCTCAGGCCAACCAATCCTTCTAACCTCCGGGGACGGTAAATTGGTACCAGATTCGTGGAGGAGGATAATAACACTGACTTCACATCGGCTGGATCCTAAGTCACTGTATAGGCCACATCGCATTCCATAAACCACTAGAGAGGTAGAATACGTGCCGCATCTTCAAAAGGGATTTATCATCAGCGGCGAAGATTTTATCCCATACCTCTTATTCATCCAACATGAGTTAACCAATCCATTTTGAAGAAACCTGTGGACTAAGCTGTAGAGTACGATGACCAACCCCTTTTTGCTTTTTTCATTTGCTTTAAGATTAATACATAGAAACCAACCTCCCTGCACATTCATGTGGAGGCCTGAGGCACGTCGCATCCGGCGGCGAGTCGGAGCCAGAAGATCACTTTTTGCTGTTCCATGAATAGATGCCTTATAAAACACTCTTAGTCTGGTCTTTTAGTGTGGTTAATTGCAACGGAGATCTGAACAGTTTTTCAAAAAGCGGGAGACAGCGTGCGGGCATCACTAGGCTCGTACCCCGTTTCCGCTACCATTTGAGCGGGAAAGGTAGCGCGGTGCTGCAGCTCCAAACCCGTTCACCTCGCACATGGCAAAGAGTAGGACAGACAAATTTGGGTCATTGTTCCGCCCACCAGACCATCGCGTAATATGCTTGCAAGGCCATCGCCGGTCCGTCCTCTTGCATAGGTCCGTGGGCTATTTCACTTACGAAGTCATAAACTCAGGTAATTGCACAGCAGATCTCATTTTTTGAGCGCGCGACGAAATGCTGCGAGGCTCCATCCAGTGCCTTCTCTAGATATACAGGGGGGCCAAAAAAGTCACTTTTCTTCATTGACTTTCGTGGCGCTATAAGTTACACTTTATAAATTCTAATCGGACATTTCTACCACCATATTAAAGAGCATATTAAATACTATTATAAACTCCGCCACAGCCTTCTGGACGAGCGCCATCGAGAGATTCTGGCACGCGACCGCGATGTGGTGCCTGAGATCAGCGAGATAGTCGATTTCTCCGCCACCGTAGACCACCCTATTGAACTCCGCCCGAACCGGGTTGAGGGGATTCAGGTCAGGTGACCTACTTGGATATTCCATCTTCTTTAGGTACTCAGCCCCCTTCCATTCCAAGTAGGCGAGAGTTTCTCCAACGCCCTTCGATTCCAGTGGCACCCAATG